ATATATATATATATATATACTTTTTGTAATATAAATTTTATTGTTATTTTGTGTTTTGTTTTTTTAGGTGGGTCTCGATGCGTAGTCACCTCCTCGTGGGTGAGACCTGGTAATTGGCATCGCTTTGTAAATTTTGTTTTTTAAATTTTTTCTATTTAAAAAAATATCTATACAAATGTGTCATAGAAAATTTCTCATAAAAATATTTCATAGAAAATTTCTCATAAAAATATTTCATAGAAAAATATAAAATATATTTGATCAGTAATAGTTTTCGGGAAGCGATGGCAAGCTAAGAACTACGCACACCTATTAGTCCAGTTTAAACATGATTTCCATTAATTATTTTGATTAATTATTGATAATTTGCACTACAGATAAATGATAAAATTTGTGCAGAAATATTCTCATTAACTGTTTTTATTTTATTTCTGGTTTCAACTCTTTTTTTTTTTTTTTTCTTCAAAATAAAACGAGAATATTTTTGATACTGATATAGTGAAGTATTTTTTAAATTAATATTACGTTAAGTAATATTAAGTTTAATTAAATTTATATAAATTTATAATTTGCGTATATATTATTTTGTAGTTTATTGTTTTTTCATTGTTGATTTCAAATCAATTACGTATCATGTAACGGTGGCATGGTGGAGTTTTCTACTTCCAGTGACGAATCGTGAATCCTCACCGTAATCATCTCCTTGTAGTGAGATTTGGTAATTTATTTTTATGGATTATTCTTCGAAAAATTATTAATCTATATTATCTTTCAAAATTTTCCATTAATTTTTTTAATAATCGATTTCAATTTGAGAACTATTCAACACATGCATTCCAGTTTAAATGTCAAATTTCCTTTGGTCATCTAGAATGGATTGCAGATATTAATTATTGACATTCGTTTTATTATTTGTGCTAGGATTTCAATTCAGTTATTATTTTATTTTAATATAGTTGTAATTTTATTTTTAAAATATCTTGTTATTTTTTTAATAATACCTAAAAATTTAATTAATAATTATTTTTAATAGAAAAATGATGATAATAACATGTATTAAAATTGAAAAGACTATTTTTGGAAGAATTATTCCATTATTGGCATAGGATATTACAGATAATGACATGTAATGTTAAATACTTTTATTACACATATGCTGTAATCACTATTATATTTATAATGTATTTATAATATTTAGATAATATCTTACTCCTCTATACAAAAATAATTACAATAATAATCGTTATTGGCATAGGCAAAATCGTTATTTATTGAAATTTATTGAGCACAATTATTTTTTCCCTTATTTTACACAAGTAAACCTATATTAAAAGTCATTTAAAATTATAAGATTTTAATTATCTTTTATACATACACACGTTTATGAGTGTGTATGTTTATATATCATGTATATTTATATTTAAATTCATTCTGTAACCTACAACGCATACTAACAATATATCAAAGTCTTTCATTACACTGGTAATATGAATTTTTGACAAAATACTGAATATTTCTTCTCTTCTTCTCCTTTTCTTTTTCTTCTTTTCGTCATTTTTCTGTCATTTTTTTCTATTTCTTGTTTTCTTATACTTATCTTCACACTATTGCGTTCATTCTTTATCTCTATCTCGCATACACGAACAATTTGTAGCATTAAAGAACATTCGAAAGTGTAATTTTTTTTTCGTGCGCTTACTCAAAAACCCTGATCAATTCGTGATTATTAAGAAAATTTCGTGAACAGTTCATTCGTCGTCAGTCAAAGGAGTCGAATTGTTCGATTTTATATATTCGATTCGAACGAATATCGACTTAACTGTAGTTTGTACCGCGACAGCAACATTTTCATTATTTTACATTATTATTCACACATTATTTCGGTAAATTATGCAGATTTATAACTGCATAACAGATTTATAACTGCATAACATTTCTAAACATATATATTTGATCTCGTTCAATATCTCTCTGGGCAGTTTTTCGATTTATATAAAAACGGTATAAAATTCGTGTTGTGAATCGAGCTTAGTAGATAATTCAGAATTGATTGGAATGGAAGAAATTGTTTAATTGGATGTTAAAGACGTAAATAGTAGATGTGAAGTGTCGTCGACTAAAGTAATGGTATGTTAGAATGTTACATTATCGATAGTCGTTTGCAAGAAACGCGAGTTCCGAAAAACATTAAAATTCGATTTTTTAGATTGAACAACTATTTTTTTTTTTTTTTTTTTCAAATTCGATTCATTAAAAGAAATGGGATCTAGACGTAAATAATGGAATGCTTTGTCTATATCCTTTATAACAATTTTTTTTATATATACGAATATTTGCATCACAATAAGATATAATTTAAAAGAAAATGATCCGTCAATTGTTTACAAATAATTCGATTTTATAAAGGAATAAAATGAAAGGCATAAAATATTAAAAACAAGCTAACATCACGCATATAATATCTAGGTATGTAACAATCTCGAAATATTTCGACATGCAACGTTTTCAATTGGCGTTGCAATTATATGGCACGTAATATAAGGTTTGCACATTTTGCTCATTTCTTTCTTTCTTTCTTTCTTTTTTTTTTTTTTTTTTTTTTCTATTCTCAGTCTTCTGAACGCCTATCCTTAAAAAATGAAATGTTAGCATCCGAGAAGTTTATTCTCGTTTAGCTGTGTCGTTTCTTCATTTCAAATGTGCAACCTTCTGTCGGTAACTCATCTATAACGTAGGGTGATCATATCTTTTGTTTCAAGTATATATTTTTTTATAAAATTATATCATCATATGATGTACAATAAATATAAAGTAAAGATAAATATATATTTAAAAATATAGATATTGGAAATATTTTTTTTGAAATTAATATGAAATTAAATAGACAGTTTATAATATATATAATTAATACATTATTATAAAAATAATACTATATAATAAAAATTAATAATAAAATAAAACTAAGAATATTATAAGTTTTGAACTTAATATTAATATATTGATATATTAATGTTAAAAAAAATAAATCTAGCTAATAGCTAATAATGATATACTAATTTATGCTCGAAAATCTTATTAAAAATTGGTACTTTGGTTTTGTGATAGAGTTTCGATTATATATATATTATAAAATTTATAACGATTTTAAAGGAAGTGAGAAGACGATTTCAATATATTATTCCATTTTAACATATTTCCACCTTACTTTTTTCGTGATTTTTTCTTATTTAATGTAACGATACGATCACCTTACTATATAACATTTTCTAGGTTAAATGATTTAGATTAAACAAAAATTACGCAAATAGTAAATAACTATTCCATTTAAGAAAAAAGAATCATTTCTTTCCATCAGGGACGGTTAAAGCTTCAAAAATGAGCAACGATCGAACATATAGAACGAGTCTAATATAATCAACAAACGTGTATATTATCACTTCCAAAATTTTAAAATTTCTGTCTTTCTTTTTCTCTTTAAATTCTATTCATGATTAGATAACATCGTTATAATAACACCGCATTTATCTAAATCTGTACACGAAATTTTTCGCGTCATTTATGTTTAACAATAAATAATTAAGCTGCGGAAAAACACCTCGAGACGTTTTAACTTTCGACGCAGGCTCAATATATGTATACATAAATATCATCTCATTAATTCTAACGCATTTCTACAAATTATACTTTGTAGACGTAATACTGAACGAAAAAACAATTAGGGATTCGCCGTCTTGATTGTACTTCGTGGTATTATAAATGTGTTCCACTTATCAATTAAGTCGAAGTGTACAATGAGAACACATTTTTGTATTGTTACAATTCGAATTGATGAATTATGCAATTAGAAAATTTTGCAATTTCTTCTTTCAATTGTTTTTTTTTTCATTTTGTTTTCTTTCCCTTCTTTTACGGACGGTTGAGAAGGATCAACGAAATTAATACTTTTCAATTATTAGAACCATTACTGTCGATTACTGCGCCATCGGTTGTTTTATCCGCGAAACAGAAAATTCGTTTCTATTCGAGATATCGTAATTCTCGATATCTCGACAAGAAGTTCGAGACATCGCGATTCGAGACAATCATTCCCGCATTTCAATAATAACTCTATCACAAATCATTCGGAAAGCATATATAATATATTCGTATTATACTTCGCGCAAACATTTGTGTGGGTGGGTGTGTGTGTGCGTGTGTTTTTATATTACTTTCATTCTTCATTATTTATTGAGAACCTTCTGTAACATATGTACGAGAAAGTTTAACGATAACATATCATACACGTCGCGTCGTTCCGCGTAAATGATCTACGAGGAACATCGTGCGGTAGTCTTTTCTTTTTCGTTTTTTTTCTTGTTCTATTAAATGAATTTAACTTTTTTTTTGTAATTAACGGTGCGTGGAAAAACGTTTATTAAGAGTAGAACGTTGCTTCGAATATAATCGAAAGTTTTAGAATCATGTCGTTGGTGCATTTGAAACTGGTGGCGTATCGGTACGCCATATTGAGCTACCAGATTGGCTGATGGTAGTAATCTGTAAATAAAGGTATTCAAAATAAAATATATTCTTTTTAAATAATAGTAATAAAGTTTATTTCATTTAATATTAAATCATTATTGAATTATATTAATTATGAGAAAATTTATTAAATAGATTTGTTGTAGAATGACAATCGATATTTTTATACTTCATTAGTATTCTTCTTAAAATATCTTCTCAAAATATTTATACATATAAATATAAATTATATAAATTGATTAGGCAAAGAATTTTTGGATTTTTTTCAAATAATCGATGTATGTAAATTTGATATTTCATTATAATTTAGAATTGGAATTTCAAAAATTTTGAACAAATAACTAGGGATAACTAGAGTTATTATAGATCATTGCATCGGATATATCATTCTCAAAAACAAATGGTATGACAGATCTATTAATTGTCACCTTATTGTCATGTCCGATTAATGGAGTTTCTGCTGTGGTCTCGTCATTGTTACGACTCATGTATGGATGTGGAGGCGGCACATAAATCGGCTTAGAATGACTGGCGACTTGCGCGTAAATCGTCGGTTCCTGGATAGGTTGCCTACGCGTCAGAGTCGACATGGGCAGCAGTTGAGGTCGTTGAATATTGGATACCTGTACTGGCTGATAACAATTAGGAGGTATTCGTCGGTTACCCCGAAGCGACAACTCGGCGTACGTTAACTCTGATCCCTGCAAAATCATTATTGATTATGCAAATTATCATTTATTGATTTAATATAATGGGAGGTACAGGTTTATTCGTTTTTCGCTTTTCTTTTTCTCATATTTCGATTCATATATTCATTGAATAGAGTAGTAAAATGTGTTTCACTACATCTAAAATCATTTTTTTAAAATATGAATTTAGGGTTTTGTTGAAATTTCTAGAGAAATTTATGAAAAATGTTTATTTGAATGCCGATTTAATTCGTTGAAATTTTGTTTTCTATTTACTAAATTTATATTCTATATATTATTATTTATTTTTTTTTATAAATATGTAGAGATATCAAAAATTTGTAATATTTATAGTATTTTATTTAATGATTAATTTATTTCCATAAAATGAGTATATTACTATTCGCATTTCTAATTTAGAAAATTACTACATGCATCTTAATAAAGGCATTCAAATAATTCAAACTATTAAGCTTCTTAATTTAATATAGATTTTTTTTTATTTTATATGTGTTATATGCATGTAGTGAGAAATAAAGAATTTTTAGGTATTCGTACTCACGTTGCTTGTATTGGTAAAAGTACTTGCATCCGATCGTGGCTGATGTAATACATAACGTGGTGAAGTACTCTTGCACAATTCAGAGTAAGAATTTTCTGTGAAAATGTGGAATTTTAGAAATTAGTAAGACTAATTCGTTGTTGTCGTTGAAGTAATTGATTATTGCCCAATTTTTTAATGATATTCGTATAAAATGTTTACACATTCGTGTTGTTGAAGTAATATAAATTTTTTTAGTGGAACAAACTTTATTAAAATTAAAAGCCTCCCCCAATTTTACAACACATACATCATCGACTTAACATCGAATGCTTATTAAATTACCCACCGTTAGCGTGAGGAATTATATCTGGATCCTTCTCGAAACTCTCAATGCTGTCGGAATTGAGAGGCAGGGTCGACGATTTATCACGTGGAGAGGAGCTGCCGGTACCGGACGCGGCCAGGTTTGCCATGCCACCGTCGTCGTGAGAGTCCTTGTCCTCCTGAGACCTTGCTCGAAGCCGTAATTTCACCGCCAGGGTTATCACGAAGCCCACTAGTAGAACACCTGCCGTCGATCCGACTACCATGCCAAACAGTGGTCCGGACAGCGACAGTATCTTTGGCGTGAGAGCTGAAAATCATGTTAAGTATCATGAGTATTTTCCTCTCTTCTTTCTTTCTTTTTTTTTTTGCTTAGAACTGTTCGAGGGACGATAGGATTTCTTTTCGGGATTATTCTTATAAAAATAATAATAAGAAACGATTTATCGCGATTACAATCGTTAAAAAGAAAATTGACGATTTTCGTCGTGGATACGATTTTTAGATTTTCAGGATTTTTTTATAAAAGTAGTTATAAAATTATAGGAAAAGATAGATAGATTATAGGGATAGATTGATCGGACAAGTAAAGTAAGATAATCGTGAGTAGAAGTAGAAGTTATGGTTAATCGAATGGAATAGGTCAGTTATTGGTCAGACAGTAGAGGCGCGTTTGAAGAATTATGAAAGCGATTGGAATCATATCTTTGTAAAATAATTATAAATTATACAATTTCTGATAAAATTCGTTATAAATTCGAATATTTTTTTTTTATTTGAATATAGTAGTTAGTTAGTTTTCTTTCTTCAATTTTGACTTAATTATTATAAAATTATTCTTTTATTTTTGTTTTGCTATAATTGAATATTCTGCTTGCAAGTTTTTGGCTTTTTTGAAATTTTTTTTTAAAATTCTGTAAGAATTAAAATATCGGAATGTCATATAATTTTATAATATCGTTCTAATATAATTTTTTGGTTTTTCTTTCGAAAATATAAATATAATACAATGATCGTATAGTTAAAACGTTAGAAATTAGTAAGATTGTTATGTTTATACAAAAATATATTTTTCTTAAAAACTTTTTTATAATAAAAGAAACGGTGTTAAATAGTCGAGTTTTTATGAAATGAACGACATAAGAAATTCAAATAACTCTCGGGCACGATCATGATTCATTTGCTTGCATAATTTCAAGCTACAATTTGATTTACGTTCCTCTTTCATATTCCAGATAATAATGGATTAATATCTCGGTAATAAACGAGCACTGAGCTGATTAACCATGGTCCAATGCGTTTCGTATTTAACCATCGACAATTATGTAAATGAAATTTCATCATAGAATTGACCGTCGTTTCTGATCACGACAATATTAATAAACGAATTTGTTTTCAGGCTAAAATAAGAAAAAGCTTCATTTATCAAAAAAATTTTTCTTTCAATTTGAAAAAAAAAGATTCATAAAATGATGTTTCAAAAATTCCTTTTTAAGATTCATTAAAATATTAAATTGAATTTTAATGAAAAGAAGCTGTGCATCATCTATGCATGTTCCACATTACGATATCGTAGCAAGATTCACCATTCACATGCAAGGTTTCTACATAATAGATAAACATAGATCTACGATCACAAGCCAAAGCGCGCCATTTATTGCAAGCAGAAAATATTTCGTGATCATTATGTTTCTTTTGGAAAAATATTTCTTTATTCTTCTCATTGCTAGTTACAGTGTGCTTTAAGTTTTTTCACTCAATTTTCATTGTTTCATAAATTATTGTTCTCACTTTGTTTCATGAAAGAATGGCACATTTTATAAGATTTTTCTCGATAAATATGCAAAAGATTCTATAGATACAGAAAAGTGAGTGAAATTAGTTATAAACTTAATAAAATTTCTTCTTTAATTTTCAATCACTTAATAGAAAAATTAAAATAAGAAAAAATATAATATTATAAATATTTTTTTTATTCATAGAAAATTTTTGGAATTTCTTTATTAATCCTTATAAAATGATCTAACAGCATTACATAAAGTAGGAAAAAATAAGAACAAATATTAAAAACAATTTTCTAATATATTTAATATATTGTATCAAGTTTTTATTTTAAAAATTTTAAATTATTTGGAAAAATATAAAATGTGCCAAAATATTGTATCGTACAACAAGAACAGAACCTTAAAATCTCTCTGTTATCTCTTCAGAGAAAAAAAGCACACCTTCAAAGTGCCCCATAGAGAAATTCCTCTGTTCCTCGTGTGAAAATCGTTTTCCCTCGAACAACAACAACAATTTTCGAGACAATAGAATGAAAGGACGAAAATGGACCATTCAACGTACCTCGACGAATGAATGAATGAAACGTGTCAAATAAATGATGACATTCTAAAAGCGTGGACAGATTTTCAACGAGATGCACCGCAGAAAGACACGGATATCATAGAACGAAAAAAGAAAGGGATAGAGATCATGAAATAGTCGTAAAAGTAACAGTAACAGTGGTTCGTAAAAATGTACATTCTCGGGAGCGATCGTAAAGGCACTTTCAATCCTTCAATTCCTTTCTGTTCTTGCCATTTTTTGAAATTTTTAAAACGATAAGTCGATTACTATCGCGTGGAATACATTTTCTTCCTTCCTTTTGTTTCTTTTTTTCGTTTTCTCTTCCAAAAGAAAATAATTTTTTCCGGCTCTGTTGGAGGTAATTTTTATTTTTTCGCATTATACAGAATGATAAGAAAATTATATATAAATATTATAAGAGTAGTAATTGCAAAAATAAGACTAATAGGACTAATAGGTTATTCCTACAGATTAATCTTTTTGATAAAAAATACAGATACAGTTTCTACATCTTTTATATTCGTTTTTGTCCTCTTTTCATCTAAATTTTCATAGATCGATGCATACTTATAATGCATGAATCTTAATGCTTTTTGTTATTCTTTTACTTATTATCATAAAATTATCGTAGTAATTATCAGTTAGGATTAGATTAGTTCTAAATATTTTTTTCCTATCGTCTATATAGAGAGATAGTGACAGTAATCGCGTATTGGAAACGTTAATTTCGTTTCGATGCCAAATGTCTCGCGTGGATTAACCGAACCGGCTAATTTAGGATTAATCGATTATATCTACATGCCGGTGTAACACTGCCACATCCATTCGTGTTTGTGTCTGTGTCATGCAGTTCTCACAGTTGATCGAATTGATCTATGTAAGTGGTTGCCCGACCGCCAATTACCCGATTTAGTTTATTCCACAACGTATTAATGTTGGAAATAGATCTAAAAAGATTGACGAAGTGATATTCTTTTTTTCTACCTTCTCTTTTGAAAAATTAACAAAATTCTAATTGATAGTATTTCATTGTTATATCGTAATATTAAAATTAGATTATTATTGTTTCAAATTAATTCAAATTTAAAATTTTTGAATTTGAAATGTTCGATTTTGAAATGTTTTTGAAATTTTGAGAAAAATTTTGAATAGGAAAGATAGGTTTTTGTTGTTAGAGTGATGTTAGATCATTGCCCAGAATAGGTCTTTAATATGATGAGTAGAATTATACAGATCTAAGATATTCTTTCTTTTTTTTATTTATATAAGTCCATATCTGAATAATATATTTTTATTATAATATTATTTGCAATTTAGATAGAATTATTTTTCGAAATTACAATGAAGATTTCACTAGGTTTCAACACGATTTTTCTCAATGAAATACGATTTATCCAGATATGGATGTCGTGTTTGCAGAGATAGTGAATTATCGTTACGCCAGAAATGAATCTGGAATTCAGATGCACTGTCCAGAACTATGCTTGGCATTCAAGTTCGAGATTAATCAAAATCCACTTAAATTCACAAACTTCTCTAAACGAGTAACCCTCTCGTTCTGCTCCTGTGATTCTAAGTTGATATTAAACGCAGGAGGCGGTCGTCGTTCGAATTCAAGAATAGAGAATTCACACTCTCTGCTATTCCCAAGATGGAAACCAGTTAATTCGAGGACAATTTTATACTACTTCGGTTCCCATTCCGTTGGGAAATATTTTTAATTCGAGATAACTTGATAATGCATTTTTACGAGGATATTAAAATATTTTTATTATTCACAGATTAAAATGGACTATAACTATAATTATAACTATAATTAATAACTAATAATAATATAATAAATAACTATAAATTAATAACAAATCCTTTCGTTTTTTATCATTACAATACCTATACTTTGACGATAGACAGGAAAATTATTCGATATTAAATCAAAGCAGTAATTTTATGGGAAATCTTTTAATTTTCTTCAAACCAAAACGGATATATTTTTTTACTACAAAATTCTCAATTTTCCCAGAAAAATTTTCTTTGCTCGAACTAAATTTATCGACTTTCTCTCTCCTTCTTTCTTTCTCTATCCTCTTCGTTCCTTTTCCTCAACATCTTATGGTTACAGAGGATCGTGTTCAGCCGCAGACCAATTTCGGTTGAACGCTCTCCGGATGGTTCGCACGTACACGCGGTTGCCTTGGCGGTGTCCCTTGGAACCGGCAGTTCCCCGACTTCTCTTCTCTGTATACATACCAACCGTTTACAGGATGTATACGTGGGGACCTTTCGCCACGAATTCGCGGAGAGAACGTCCATTTGCATAT